AGAATCTGGGATTTCACAAATGTGGACAATTCCTTCAATGGCCCAAATCTCAACCCTTCTAGAGAGTCAAGGAGCATTTACACTAAGCCCTAGGGATACAAAGAAAGGCCAAAGCATTGCCTCTAGACCAGGGCCTCATCCATTTTGTGTTATGTCTCCTTTGGCTGTCTAGTGAAGTCTATGGACCTCTTCTAAGGATAATGTTTTTAAATACACAAAAAAAAATACAGAAGGCTACAAAAGAAACCAATTATATTGAAATAACTATGAAAATATTTTAGTTATCAAAATATTATATAATAATATATCTAATGGCAGGTCAAATAACTACAGTAATTTCAAAGTAGTAAATGAGCAGAAATGATATTTTGAGAAAGCTGCAACAAATGTAATATAATGTGAAAATATCTGTGATTTCTATTGGTAAAAAAAAAAAAGTCCCAGGTACTGCTTATAATGGGGGCAAATGCTAAATTTCAGTTAGGAGTTAGGGAAAACAAAGATGTAATTTTTTCCCATGATAATTCACGGTCTTCCTGAAATACATCCATGGATCCCTTGGAGTTCTCTGAAATCCAGGTTCAGAACCCATGTTCTAGGGGCAGCGAGGTGGCACAGTGGTTAGAGCACCATCCTTGAAGTCAGGAGGACCTGAGTTCAAATTCGGCCTCAAACCAAACACTTGACATTTCTAGTTGTGTGACCCTGGGCAAATCGCTTAACTCCAATTGCCTAAAAAACAAAAAAACAAAACAAAACAAACAAAAAAAGAAACCCCATGTTCTAGACTTTAGCACATAATCTCCATGGACTGCTGTGCCACCAAATTTCACCACCTGCTTGCTGGCTGTCCTTCCACTCAGAAGCCTATAGAAAATGAGTGAGGTGGGTCCCTAGACAGCAGACAAACAGTCCATCATAGGACACATAACTGAAGCCTGTCCAGTTTACTAGGAACAAGTACTCTGCTGGCACAGTCTTCCAAAAACCCAGAATTGCTTCCAAACCATTAGAAAGCACTGAAGTAGGACATGAATGGGCTTATGTAATATAAAAGAAGCAAAATAAATGCAACAAACTAATTAAAATAACCTCAGATATGGCTTTTGTCTAATGCTTTTCCATATTTCTGCATGCAGCATGTCCTCATACGTGCTTCCCTCTCCCTCCCCCCCCATGATTTTTAGTAAGCACTTAGCAGAGTGTGAGACAAAATTTCAGTTTACAAAGGACTGATTTTGCAGACTCAGTTGTACTTAGCAAAATGAGTAGAACTAGGAAACACTAAAAAGGCCGTTTTAAAAATATTTGTAAAATGTCCTTCGTAAGTCTGAAGGCCATAGTATATGGCACCAGAACAATGTAATGTAAACAAAAAAATATCTTGAAAGGTGGCTGAACTCAGATGAATTGAAATGACCAATCTTGATCCCAGAGAAAAGATAGTGAAACCCATTCTTCTTGGGGGAAGGGAATGGAAGCAAAATATTGGGCATTCCATTCTGTCATCTTACAGATAAGCAACTGAGGGTAGGGAAGTTGTGTCTTGACCAATGTCACGTAGCAAGATGGGAAGTGATAGAGCTGGGATCTACAGCTAAGTCCTTTGACTCTAAATGCCATCCTTGTCCCACTGACATTCACTTTTTTGTTTGTTTGTTTGTTTTTAAAAGGGAAGGAGTTCTATGTGTTTCTGTGCAGGCTGGGGGAGGTTAGTGTTGTATTAGTTAGAAATAACCAAGGATTAGAAAAGAAATAACCAAGGATTAAAAAAGAAAATATATCAATAAAACCATCAACTTTTAAGAAAGACTTTAAAAGAATCTTAATGCCTGCATATCTATGCTAGCTCAATCAATCTGTTTTGCTTGGTCACTCTGAATGATTAGACTGGACACTCTCCAGGACAAGAAAATTATATTCTTTATTTCTGCAATATAAAACCCTACTATATAAACCTTTCCACTCAAGTAAAAGTGACTAGTTTCATTTTCTGACTTTATTCCAGTTTATGATTGTTGGTGTCTCCAGGAGGTTTCTCTGCTTGCTTCAAAGGACAGTGTATTCAACTGATGTAAAAAGAAAAAAAAATGAGTAGATGTTAAAACTGAAAGTAAAGAGGGCTCACTCACATTGATACGTGACGGATGGAGACAAATGCAAGCTTCCCCCAAGAGCACCCTGGACTCTAGCCAACAACTTGGTCACCACTTTTACCTCCCACAATTGGCTTCTCAGTTGACTATGAATGGGGACGTCAGCCAGAACCAGCTATTAATGTTGACAAGTTAGATGGAAGAAGTTCTACTGAACCACAGCTTTTGGATATAAATGAGATAAGAACCCAGCAACCTAGATCAGAGATTTAGAAGGGACCTCAGACATCAACTAGTCCAAAACCAAAATTTTTACAGAAGGGGAAACTGAGGCCCAGAAAGTTATAGCAACTTGCCCGTGGTCACCTTAGTAGTAAGTAGTATCAATTAACATTCAAGTTCTCTCTGAAACAACCAGCAAGTTGTTTAGAAGGTGCTTTTCACCTCTACCAAAATCAACTGGTTATTGTCAGTAGGTCAGCTCTACTCTGTACATGCTTCTGCTAAAGATTTAATTCTCTTACTGCTGGAAATACTTCTCTGCTTTTAATCAAGGACTTTGTAAAAACAAAATCAATGTTATATGACCTAGGCAAGAAGAGAAAACACACACACACACACACACACACACACACACACACGCACGCACACACACTAGCCCATTCCTTTTCATTTGTTTCTTTAACCCTAAAACTCGTTTATGCAGCTAATTACTTTTCTCTTTGAGGATTCCGAACACGAGTTCTAATAGGCTTTGTGTTGTAGTGGGAAGCTTGGGTTTGGAATCAGAAGATCTGCATTCAACTGTCAGCTCTGCAGCTTAGTACCTGTGTGACTTGGGGAAAATCACTTAACCTCTCATCTATAAAATGAGGCAGGTGGATTAGATGGCTCTAAGAACTGGCAGATTCAGTCCTAAATCTCTGATATGAGAGGATTCTCATAAGGCCCTTCACTGTTGGAGGTCCCAGTTTCCTCACTGATAAAATGAGAAGGCTCAACTAAATGAACTCTCTGACCCCCCTGAGGTCTATGCCTATGACATTTCAGCTAGGGCAGACCAAAATGTAACACCATACTGGCATTAGAAAGGAAGTTCTGATCACCACAGTATTAAGTCAAGTTTAAATCTTGAAAATGGCCTGGGATGGCACCTTGTTGTCAAAAATAAGACCACAGAAAGAAATGATAGACTCCAAGTTGGCAGGGACTTGGAGATTATCAAGTCCAGCACCCTTATTTACCCATGAGGGAAAAAGAGGCTCAGACAAGCCCAGTGACCTATTCAAAGAGGCACAGCTAGCACGGGGCAGAAATAGAATTCAAACCCAGGTCCTGTAATTCCAAATCCAGGCCACTACCCACTTTCCACTATGCCACACCTGCCATCCCAATGAACCAAATAAATACATTCACCAATCATTCTCTTCTAATCTCTTTCTGTCATGTGCATTGGCTTTTAAATGTTTACTTTTTTTATTTCAAAATGTAAAAGCCAGAACTCTGGGAATTCCCTGAGAGTCCATCCATGGCTTCTGCATTTTGAAATTTTTAAAAAAGTAAATATTTAAAAGCCAATCCACATGACAGAAACAGGGCTATGACTATATGATTTTTCTAGTTTAAAAATATAAATAAAAATCATCGGAAATGGTAGGCAATTTAAGACCCTGAAAAAGTTTGGGATTAAAATAGATGAGGGGTAGGGGGCATGTAAACAGCTGAAGAACTCGCTCTTAGCTCATTCACTCCCATTCAAGCATTTTGGTCAAGTTGGAAGGAGCAGAATATATGGCAGGATGGAGCCTTAATGGTAGGAAAGGAGACCCCAGCTTACCAGGGAGGATAGTAAAGCATAGAGAACCTAAGATACTCTGCTATGACTAACTGGGGAGAAGCCAAGTAAAATTCCCGAGCAATCTCCAAAGGGACCGGATGCCTAGTCCCCAGAGAGCGTCACAGGGAAGCCAGGGATGGCCAGTGCCCAGCAGAGGAATCTGCTTCTGCCCTGACTCGACTTTCTAACCCTTGCTACTTCCTCAAAGCACATGCTTTCCTTTTGCGGTTTCCTGAAACTAGGCTGGTATGCAAGAATTCAAGGGAGAAGGAAGAAGGGATTCAAGAGAGAGCTGGTGGAAAAAGAAAAAGAAAAAAAGAGATAGCTTGTGAAAAAGACAAAAAAAGACTGAGAAAGTGAGAAGCAGAAAGAAGGGTAGGAGGAAAAGAAAAAAGAGAGGAGAGGGGAAAGAGAAAAGAGGGAAGAAAGGAGAGAGAAAGGAAGAAGAGAGTAGAGAGGAAAAAGGAGAAAGAAAAAGAAGGAAAGGAAAGGGGAGGAGAGTGGCGGAGGGAGAAAGGAAGAAAGGAAAGAAATGAATGACAGAAAGGAGAGAGAAAAGAGGGAAGAAAAAAATGGGGAGAGGCAAGAGAGGGAGAAGGAGGGAGAGAGAGAGAGAGAGAGAGAGAGAGAGACAGAGAGAGACAGAGAGAGAGACAGAGAGACAGAGAGACAGAGAGACAGAGAGAGAGAGCCCTAAACTTAGAAAACAAGAACACACAACCCCTCCTCTTCTTGCAGCGGGGACAGAACAAGACCCTTTCCCCGCAGCAGGGTCACTGCTCCCCTCTGGCCTCCTGGGAGCATTCGCAAGCCTGAGTCCGGGAGCTCCGTCCTGCGCCCCTGAGTCCCCAGCGGCGATGCGGGAGTGACGTGGGGGAGCCAGGGATGCGCGGCACGGGCAATGGCTCAGCCGCGTCTCTGCGCCCCTTTGCCTTCTCAGGCTGGCCGCGGAGGCTCCCATCCCAGGGGGGCGGGCTGGTCCGGGAGGCCCCGGGGGGACGGCCGTTGCGGGGGCAGTGGGAGCTGCGGAGGACATCGAGGGGCGCAGCGGCGCGGCGGGGACTCACCCGGGGTAGCCTCGGCCTCGGCGCCTCTTCAGCGTGAGCGCCGTCTCCAGGACGAGCGGGAGATGCAGCAATGCCAAGAGCCAGAAACGGGGCTCGGTCTTCACCTCGGTCACCCGCCAGACGCCCACCAGCGAGTGAAGCGCCAAGAGCAGCCGCGTGGCCAAAGCACCGAGCAGCACCAGCGGCTCCATGGCCCCGCAGCCGGCCAGCCGGCCGCCGACGGACGCGCTCTGCGCCCAGGGACACAGGGCTGGGCAGCCCGATGGCGCAGCCGCCGAGGGCTTCCTCGGGGGCAGTCCGGGAGCTGGAGACGGAGCGGCCCCCTTCCACGCCGCAGCCGCCTCCGCCACCCCCGACGGCCCGTTATAAGGCCGGGGCGCCAGGCTCGCCCCTCCCCCCAAACTTCCTGACAACTCTTTGGGAGCCAGCGAAACACTTGCGGGCGCGCACACACTCAGACACATGCACACTCAGAGATACGCACGCACACATATGCACAAACGGGACAATCCGGATGGAGCCTTTCCAGAGCGCGCGGGAGGAGTGTTGGCTCGCCCAGCTCCTGTACCCGGCCCGGGAGCCCGGGGGAGCCCGGGGGAGGCCGGAGCAGGGCGCCAAATGCTGCTGCTGCTGCTGCTGCAGCTGCTGGCGGCTCCCTCACCTCCTCCGGGGAGCCAGCCTGACGAGCGGAGCGCAGCGGGGACCTCTAACACTGCTGACGCTTCCCCTCTAATTCACACTGGCGCTCACACCTCCAACACTCACGGGCATACATCCGGGGACATCCTGCACCATCTGGGACAGGGAATGGAGGGCCAGGCAGAGAGAGAGGAGGTCTTTCAGTCCCCTGGGCTCTGGTTTGCTTCAAGTTCTTCTGCCCTAGCTCAGACTCCAAAAACACAAAACTTCCCTTGGGGCGTGACAAGTTGTCCGGAGAGGAGTTTCACTGCCCCCCAAGTTACAGCTCTGAGATCTCATGGGGAGCTATTTTCCGCATAATTTCTCAATTACATGGGGTATAGGGAAAGTGACACCGGAAGTGGAACTTCAAAACTACCGCTACATCCAATCAATCACCAATCATTGATTAAGGACTTTCACATCTGTTCCAGGCTCTGTGCAAGGGGCTGGTCATAGAAAGATAAAAGTGAAACAGCTGCAACAACTGGGGGATGAGGTTAGGGCAAGAAATGCTGCTCAAAACTGTGTAGCAATATCAGCACCTTGAGGGTGAGGGCTTCCCTTATATCCCATGTGCCTAGTACACAGTGTCTGTCACACAATAGGTGCTTCGCAAATGAATGACAAATGCATGATCGTGTTCAGATTCAGTTAACCTGTCTGGCCTCAGCTTCCTCTTCTGTAAAATGAGAGAATCAGACTAGCTGGCATGCAAGGTGCCTTCCAACTCTTTATCCATGATTTAGGATCTTCTGTGTCCATCACTTTGCTCACCTATAAAACACCTGAGTTGGGTTAGATGTTCTCCAAGGTGCTATGAAAGCTTTCAAAGACCTTCACTCCATTGCAGCAGTATCTTTGTATATCTTTGAAACAAAGTGGCGTGATGAGAATGAAGAAAACAACGCAAAGATAACAGATGCTTAAGCCTACAACCTTCCAAGATCTCTTCAGATGGTAAGAGACAAAACGAAAAGAGTGGTTTGGGATCTTTCCCCAAAAACCCGAGAGTTCCTTCTGCCAAAGAATTTCACTCTGCAGTCCAGGGAAACAAATCATGACAAAGAAGTTCACTTTCAGGTTTGTCTGTTTGTTTGTTTGTTTTTTTCCAATCCTGTCCTAAAGCCTCCAGTAATACTGCAGAAACTTTAAGTCTCTAACTGGTAACTCATTTTTTTTTTTTGCTCAGCTTCTCAAGAAGCCTCAGAGGGGCAGTGCCCAGCTCTGCTGTTAAGGACTTCTAACGGCCTTCAACTGAGTCTCTTTCCAGAGGAGCAGTAACCAGGTCTTTCCTAATGTGTGGTTGAAAAGTGAGTGAAGTGTTGGTGAGTGAAGTGAGCAGAACCAGGAGAAGATAGTACACAGTAACAGCCATGTTGTGCAATGACTATATTGATAGACTTAGCTCTTCTCAGCAGTGCAAGGATCTAAGATAATTCCAAAAGACGCATGATGGAAAATGCTATCCACATCCAGAGAAAGAACTATGGAGTCTGAATGCAGATCAAAGCATACTATTTGCTCTTTTTTTAAAAATCCTCTTTTGTTTTGTTTCTTCTTTCTTGTGGTTCCTCCAATTGGTTCTAATTCTTTACAACATTACTAATGTGAAACTATTTAATAGGAATGTATATGTAGAGCCTATATCTGATTGTATACCATCTTGGGGAGGGAGGAGGAGAGAGAGGGGGAGAAAATTTAAAACTCAAAAGCTTATGGAATTGAATGTTCAAAACCAAAACTAAATAAATTAATTAAAAAAGAAAAGTGAAGCATCACTGAAAAAAAGAAGCTACATTCAGTTTGGAAAAGGGGAAAAATCATTTTATCTACTACAGTTATATTTTTGACAGGGTAAGCTTTGCCCTTTGAGTGAGCTTTGGAAAGGGCTGGCTGAGAATCAAAGTGGGGACAGAGATAGAGAAAAAAAATTTTTTTTAATCTGAGACTGTGAATGCATCAGTGCAGGGAACTCCTGGTATGTAAACTTCCATCACCAATGCAGATCAACATCTACTCTTAGAGTTAGAGTTGCCTAGGTCATTGAGAGGTATGGTGACTTGCACATGGTCCCACAGCATGGATGGATTAGAGGTGTGACTTGAACCCAGGTCCCTAAGACCCCAAAGCCAACCTTCTAGTTTGAAAAGCAAAAGACAAAGTTATACTTGTTATTTGGTATCATGCATTTTTTTTATTAATTTATTTATTTTTAGTTTTCAACATTCGCTTCCATAAGCTTTTGAGTTTTAAATTTTCTCTTTCCATCTCCCTTCCTCCCTCTCCAAGATGGTGTACAATCAGATAGAGGCTCTACATATACATTCCTATTAAACATAGTTTCACATTAGTCATGTTGTAAGAAAGAATTAGAACCAATAGGAGGAACCACAAGAAAGAAGAAACAAAACAAAACAGGATTTAAAAAAATAAAAAGAGCAAACAGTATGCTTTGATCTGCATTTGGATATCCATAGTTTTTTCTCTGGATGTGGATAGCATTTGCATCATGAGTCTTTTGGAGATGTCTGAGATCCTTGCATTACTGAGAAGAGCTAAGTCTATAAACATAAGTCATCACACAATGTGGCTGTTACTATGAACGATGTTCTCCTGGTTCTGCTCACTTCACTCATCATCAGTCCATACAAGTCTTTCCAGGTTTTTTCTGAAGTCGGCCTGCTCACCATTTCTTCTAGCACAATAGTATTCCATTGCATTCATATACCACAACTTGTTCAACCATTCCCCAATTGATAAGCATCCTCTCAATTTCCAATTCTTTGCCACCACAGAAAGAGCTGCTATCAATATTTTTGTACACGTGAGTCCTTTTCCCATTTTTATGATCTCTTTGGGATATAGCCCAGGGAGTGGCATTGCTGAGACAAGGGTATGCACATTTTTATAGTCCTTTGCGCATAGTTCCAAGTTGCTCTCCAAGATGGTTGGATCAGTTCACAACTCCACCAACGATACATTAGCATTCCAATTTTCCAACATCTTCTCCAACATTTATCACTTTCCTGTTTTGTCACGTTAGCCAATCTGACAGGTGTGATGTAGTACCTCAGAGTTGTTTTGATTTGTACTGGTATCATGCAGTTTTAGCATGGGCTACTAGGTGATTCAGTGGATAGATCACTGGGCCTATAGTCAGGAAGACCTGAGTCCAAATCTGGCCTCAGCTACTCACACTCAGCTGTGTGACCCCTGACTTGTTCACATAAGCAAGTCACTTTACCCTATTTACCTCAGTTTCCTCATCTGTAAAATGAGTTGGAGAAGGAATATTCTAGTATCTCTGCCAAGAAAACTCCAAATGAGGTCCAAAAATTATAAACAGGTTTTGACAGACCCTATCCCTCAGGGCTCTTTTTCCAACTCCCATTCCAATTAGTACATCAGGTTCCTGGCTGGTGAATAACTACTACTCCTTAATAGTTCTGGAGCGATCCCAAGGATTGATGGGACTTCTCCTACCTGTTGTTCACAAGCCCCCACCAGTGTGCTTCTCAGTGATTATAAACCAGACTTTAATGGCTTTTAGGAAAGATATTTACTTGCTACAGAAACAACTCCCTCCCCCCATTCCAACCCCCAAATCAGGGACATACCCTCCTCTTGCATACACAAGGACCATGGGGAGTTTGGCCTTAAATTTCTTGTACAGTTACATTGAAACACACATGAAGGGAGCCATTGTGGCAGAAGAGCAGGTAATCCACAGCTCCTGGTTACTGGGAGCCCTTTTGTATTCCTTCATAGAGGCCTCGTGAAATTCTTCTAAAGTATAGCTCTCTGCTTGCCTTTCTAGGGCCCATACCTGCCATGAAAGGTCTCACTCTATGAAGTGCCATTATCTATCGACAGACACTTCTGTTTTCAGCCTCTGTCCCTCTGGTCACCACTGTTATTCTTTCTAGTCTCTGGTGGGACCTCTGATGACTTTGCTGAAGGTTCCAAAATCACATAGTCTCTCCTCCTTCCAAGGAATCCTCTCTCAGGGCTTGGCTGGATCTCCTCCAACAGTAGACCAGCTTGCCATGCATAAATAGACACAGAGGTGTGTCTGATTCCTTCAACCAATCATAATATTTCTTATGCACCATCATCTGTCTTTATTTAGTGATCAAAACATTTATTCCTTTCCATTTGATTTAAGACATGCTTCCACTTTGTTTATATTCTTGATTGACTGATTCAATTCAGCTGTCTAGGTCTTCTAATTACCAGACCCATCCACCCCTCCCCCTGCCCCCCCCCAAAAAGACTCACTCATTCAACCCAACCACCGAAAATCAAACTGAATTTCATCAAACCCAACTGACAGCTTGCATCTATCCATACTCTTAGTCCCCCTAAGTTCCCTCAAGAATCAGTTGAAGAAGCTCAGTCTACTTGATTTTTTTGATTATTCAAGCTGCTCATGCCTCTGCCCCATCACTATGTATCTATTTTGTATTGATTTTAATATTGCAACATATGCATATTTGGTCTCCTCTGATCA